TGTGCTGTCCCTCCATCCTTCCAAACATGGTGTCCTTCTCCAAGGATTGGTCCCTCCTTGCAACATATCCAAAATATGTCAGACGAAGCTTCAGAATCCTTGCCTCCAAGGAGCAACCTGATTTAACCCTCTCCAGGATCAATCTGTTCATTCTCTTAGCAGTTCATGGTATATTCAATACTCTTCTCCAATACCAAAGCTCAAAGCCATCAATTCTCCTTCTATCACCCTAGTCATTGTCAAGTTCTCTAGCTCATAGGAAGTGATTACCAAGATCATGGCCTGTATCAGGCACACCTTAGTCTCCAGACTGACATCGTTGCTCTTCAATACTTTGGAGAGGTCTCTGACAACAGACTTTCCCAAAGCAATACATCTTTTAATTTCCTGTCGGCTGGTGTCAAGAGTGTTGATTGTGGAGCCAAGCAAATTAAAGCTGTTTTCAGTCTCAATCTCTTCACCATCCTTCACAGTGTTGCCAATCATCCCAGTACTGAGAATCTTAGTTTTCTTGATCTTGAACTTCAGTCAAATTGAAGGCTGTAGTCCTTGACCTCTGCAGCAAGCACTTCAGGTTTTCTTCAATTTTAGCAAGCAGGATTGTGTCATAGCATAACACAGATTGTTGATCAGTCTTCCTCCATACTGATGTCACATTTCTCCTGATAGGGCCAAACCTCACAGATAACCAGTTCAGCAGATTTTTACCAACTTTTGCAGTAAGAGATCAATCCAACATGCAATCAAGATGCATTATAAACAATGGGTGACTAGAATGCAAAAGTTGGGAATGGAGAAGAATGATCAGTAGTTGGAAAACATGGACTTGGTGACAGAAATGAAGTTGGAGGTAGAATGATAGGTATTTGCCCAGTCAATGATTTGTTGATTGCAAATACATTTTATAGGAAACATAAACACAGGCTGTACACATGGATTTCGCCTAATAGTATGCATAGGAATCAGATCGATTACATCTGTGGAAAAAATAAATCACTAGAGAAGCTCAGTATCAGCTGTGAAAACCAAGCCAGGTGCTGATTGAGGAACAGACCACCAATTACTCATATGCAAGTTCAAGCTAAGGAAAATGAAATCTTTTCTTTTATAGTAGCAAAATTATAATAGATACACATGTATGAAGGGCTCCCTGATTATCATATCTGCTGTGGCCTGTGGAAGGGTACTACTCAATGAGTAAATAGTCTGAGCAAGAAAAATCCATTACAGTATGACTTGCATGAAGACCCATATCACCTTATTCCTCTAAAACGTTCCTCTAGAGTGTTCCAATCGTTATTTAGACGGAGAGGTTGTCAGTCTCTCACTGAAGGGTAAACAAATGTAACTGTAAATTTTGTCTAGTCTATAAGACTGGCTACCACCTCTGAGCGAATCTGTTTTCCAACTAGATCTTGATAATCATTCATTACTTTCCACAGTGAATGTGGGTCTTGCATCAACTTAAACATACCCTTCTGTTCTGCAGCATTTAGAACCAGATAAGCTGCCCCCGAATTGGTCACTCTTACAGTCCATTTTAGTAATGCTTCTTCAGCAAACTGTTTATAAAGATCTACAAACTGAAACAATTCCTTGATGCTATACCCTCTGATTTCAATATTCTCTTGGTTTTTGCCTGTTTCCCTCCTAGATTACTTTCTTCGTGACCCCAAGTCAGAAAGTGTTTCCTGTTGCTCCTGCACGATTTTTTCCTTCCTGGTTGACCTTGAAATTAGAGGGCATAGCTCTGTATTGGTAGGAATAGGATTTAATTCAGTGCAAACATCAGCTGCTATATAATGAATATGTTCTTTCCCATTGCATTTTCTTCTATTACTTATGACAAAACAAAACAACTGTTAAGTCTTTGTCTTTCATTGTAACTCTCTATTACCTTACATGTTCAATTAGCCAATTCCTCAGACTAGACCTGTTAACCCCATATTTCATCACAAGAGTTTGCCTTGGTTAACTGTGTTAATTCATGAGTGTTTCTTTTTCCATTCAGAAACCAAAAATGTTTCCTTACACTGAGTCTGGACCTTTGCAGCAAATCTCACTCCTGACATCAACTGTAAAAAGAAGAGATGACCTGTTTGACCTCTTCTAAATCTACAAGTAGGAACTGCTACTAAAAACAACAACCACAACACAAAATCAATTCTTATGAAGTAAAACAGACCCCACATACACATACTCCCACACCACTTTCTACTAATTCCAACACTAATCCTCTTGCTCTCCTGTGTCCAATATCTGCTAAAGTAACTACACAAACTTCACAGAAGCATATTCACAAGTACAGTTTATTATTGAACTTAACAGGTTACAATTCAAGTTGGCAACAGTATACAATTTCTCAATCAAACAAGCTTTTGAAGAGGGCTTGCAAAACCTTCAGCCTTCAGACTTGTGGCTTTAGGCCAGTGTTACAAAACACTCTTGGTCCTACCATTTGTGCCATCTCTTTCTGGCCCACTCCAGTTCCTCTGGAATCTAGGGCAACATCCCTTGACTTTGGATCCATCCATAGGGTAGTGATGTCAAGGTCAGCTCTGTCTTAAGTTGGTCTCTGGTGCTCTGCTGTGGGCCCTGGTCTGACTGATGCATGAATATCGGCCCCGAAGGATGAGCACTGCAGTCTCTCCTTCTTTCTTGCTGATAATGAGATCTAAAATTTCTGATCATTTGGGCCAAGAAGCTGTTTTCCGAACGTACAAAGGCTCCAGTTTTATGATCTGTCTACTGGAAACACCACCATAACCACCAGGGCTATACGTAGGTTGACCCATGGGGTGTTTTCTGTGAGCTCCTTTAGTCACAGACTTCAGACAGTAAATACGTCCAACAGCTAAAGTGACCACATGGGAGCCAAGGACATGACAGTCCTAGAATCTGGGTGGTGATGACAAGCCTGGAGACATCTCAAATGCTTATAAAGCCTGGCAAGTTCCATGTTGGTGAGTCAGCAAACAGACCTACAGTTTATCCTGACTCATGCGGCTGCAGTGGTTGATAACAGTAATATGGGCAAGTACGATGGAAGACTTCTACTGCTAGGAGATGAATACAGGGTCAACAAGCTGATTCCAGGCTTCTGGTTCAACGAATTCAAGGAATCAGATAGTGATCATCATCTGATCATCATCAGATGGTGCTCAGCCACCAGGGGGCAGCAGAAATCACAGGTCCAGTCACTGAGACAAGGGACCCTGGACAGCAGCCGGGCCATTTCCCAGGATCCCAATCTGCAGTCTGCGTCCTCCCTGTGACCTGAGACATGGGAAAAATTGTCCTCACTGGACCCTTGTAATCACCTTTGTGCCAGTCACCTCTCAAAGAACTTTCTCTGATCATAGGTCCAAGGTCATATCAGCATGTTCATCACATCACACATGAAACTCTGTCATGGACCCAAGACCATCTTCCTGGGACACATGACTCTCTTCCAGCCCTAACTACTGAGGTACTTCAAGTCTTGCTACACAACTGCTCTCCATGGTCTGTAGAAGCTTCTCCCACATCCACGTCTGTACTTTCATAAAATTCCTCTGCAGGGAAGATCACATTTCACTCCTGTGACTCATGCACACAATTCATGAATTTACAGCTTCACTCATTGAACTTCTGATGTGATGCTTTTCCCAATATCTGAAAGTACCTCACAACACAATCACAGGAGGTGCAAAGAGTCGAGAGTCAGCTCTCATCATCTCCTGAAGCAAGCCTAGCTTTCAACTCATCATTCATCCCTGGCCTTGACTGCATCATGAGGACCAAAGGAAATAGTGACTGTCACTTGTCCTGGATGCACAACATGACAGAGACTGACAGGTAGCACCTTCCCTTCCCCAAGGGCGCCTGTGACTGTGCACTCCTGCTGTCAATCTGGATGGGAACCTGTTCCCCTCTGAGGTTCAGGTCTCACATATGGGACAGGGTGAGAATGGCCAGATACAGTGGGTCCTTGAATGTAAGTTCAGACATCACAGTGAAAGATATAGGACTATTTTTATCAACAGACTCCTCCAAAATGTTCAAGGACAGAACACCTCTGATCCTGGACTAAAATTAACACCTCCCTCAGGTGCAGAGTGGGCAGAATAATAGCCTAGAGCTCTAGAACAAGTCCAACATCCACACAGTGCCTCTCTGGTCGCCCCAGGAAAGACTCCAGAATCACCTGTGGGTATAGACTTCTGTGTCTTACACATAATTAGAATAAATGTCACCTGAGGCCATCAGCTGTTAGCCCTGGAAAAGGTATAGACTTGAAAAGTTGGCTCAGAGTTGTGGACTGGCATGGGGGAGGTCCCAGGACAGAGGTGACATGCAGGGTCCCCACCCTCCCTGTCTGTGTCCCCAGGGCTGAGGTGTCTCTGCAGCCAGTTTCCCCTGGCAGCCCTGAGCTCTGATTATTTGCATAACTGAAGGCTCTTCACCAACAAAATGAGAGAGCCCAGGGAGACCACAGGCAGCATCCTCACAGAAGCAGGACTCTGAGCATCAACATCATGAACTGGAGCCCTCTCTTCCTCACTCTCCTTGCTCACTGCACAGGTGCTGCCCCCAGTTGTCCCTCTATTGAAACTATAGCTCCCAGACAGGTCTGATCAGACTCTGAGCTCAGAGGGTCACCCTGCAAGGGACTCATGGGCCTGGAGCCTTAGGGGCACCACTTATGCCCAGTGGAGAGCTGTCCTTCATGCAGGGGCTCCCTCCTCCAGCCAAGCTGCAGAACGCTGTGGTGGGGGCAGAAAGGAGAGAGCTCTGGGGTTCACTGATTTGTTCAGTCAGGGAAAGCTAGACCTCCTGGCGTTGAGCCCCTCAGCTGTAACCTAACTCTCCTCTCTCCTGCAGGCCCTGCAGCCTCCTATGAGCTGACTCAGGCACCTTCAGCGTCAGTGCGCCTGGGAGAGACAGTCCACATCACCTGTGGAGGAAACAACATTGAAAAGAAAAGTGTCCACTGGTACCAGCAGAGACCAGAAGAGGCCCCTACAACGGTCATATACAATGATAACCAGCGGCCTTCAGGGATCCCTGACCGGTTCTCTGGGGCTAACTCGGGGAACACAGCCACCCTGACCATCAGCAGTACCCAGACTGGGGATGAGGGTGACTATTATTGTCATGTTTGGGACAGTGGTGCTGCTCACAGTGACACAGGCAGATGGAGAAGTGAGACAGAAACCTGCCCACCATGCCTGCCTTGCTCAGTCTCTCCAGCATGTCACACTGAGAGGACAGATTTTTCACCACACATAGAACTTTCTGGTGTTGTCATTTGTGTTGACTCACAGTAACTTTACAAACGACAGATTTGAACCCCGTCCTATCTCCTCTCTGACACACGTAAGCCCACTGGTACAGGCCCTGTGTCAGTCCATCCCTTTAGGGCTCTTCATCCCTTCTGCTGCCCTGACACCTTTCCAAACCTTAGTCTTTGTCTTCCTGTTACGTGGGAACATCTCTCCACCTCTAAGCTTCAGTACATCCCAGAGTCAATGAAGCAGGTATTTTCATCATCTCCAGCTCCCTAGAGACCTCCAGAGTCCACCAAATTCAATGCTACCTCCAACAGACAGCAACCCTGTGGGACAGAATGAATTGCCTCATGGGATTCCCAACACTGCACCATCATGTTTGCTTTGAGGATCTGATGACCTCATACCATAATTCTTCCTTCACAGTTAAATCTTCCACCACTGTGTCACCAGGGCTCCTTTTCTAAATACCCAAGAATAAAATCTAATATTCTCACATATGATGACTAAGGCACAGTCCACCCTGCTGGATTCTCAAAGAGTAGTCGGGGGTGTTAACAGGGATAAGAGGTAACATGAGGCCCTTTGGGACATGTCACGAAGGAAGAAAACACCAAGAAATGGGTCACATTTGTGAGATAGCAGGATCGTTTGATGCCAGACTGTGACATCATCAAAAGCTCAGGCCTCAGTTACAGGTTAGACATAAGAATAACAGCCACTCTTTTGCCCATCCACCCAAGATGCCGAAGGGAAAGAAGGCCAAGGGGAAGAAGGTGGCCCCGGCGCCCGCCGTGGTCAAGAAGCAGGAGGCCAAGAAGGTGGTGAATCCCCTGTTCAAGAAGAGGCCCAAAAACTTCGGCATCGGGCAGGACATCCAACCCAAAAGGGACCTTACCCGCTTCGTCAAATGGCCCCGCTACATCCGGCTGCAGCGGCAGAGGGCGATCCTGTACAAACGGCTCAAGGTGCCACCCGCCATTACCCAGTTCACCCAGGCCTTGGACCGCCAGACAGCTACTCAGCTGCTGAAGCTGGCCCACAAGTACCGACCAGAGACCAAGAAGGAGAAGAAAGAGAGGCTGCTGGTCCGGGCTGAGAAGAAGGCTGCTGGCAAGGGAGACACCCCCACCAAGAGACCCCCCGTCCTCCGTGCAGGGGTGAACACAGTCACCACCCTGGTGGAGAACAAGAAGGCCCAGCTGGTGGTGATCGCATACGACGTGGACCCCATAGAGCTGGTGGTCTTCCTGCCGGCTTTGTGTCGGAAGATGGGTGTTCCCTACTGCATCATCAAGGGCAAGGCCAGGCTGGGCCGCCTCGTCCACCGGAAGACCTGCACCATTGTTGCCTTCACGCAGGTGAACCCGGAAGATAAAGGCGCTCTGGCCAAGCTCGTAGAAGCCATCAGAACCAATTACAACGACAGATATGATAAGATCCGCCGCCACTGGGGAGGCAACGTCCTGGGGCCCAAGTCAGTGGCCCGCATCGCCAAGCTGGAGAAGGCCAAGGCCAAGGAACTCGCCACCAAACTGGGCTGATGTACACACTGACTCTTCTGTACATAAGAATAAACGTATTCCACAAAAAAAAAAAAAAAAATAACAGCCAATACTGCCAGCACATTAGTACATTACAGTCAGCTGAGGCCAATGAGCTGGACTCAGAATGCTGAGTGTCATTCGGATGCCTCCTAGGACAGCCTTCAGGACCTCCAAGGAGTTCTTAGCTCCACCTATGCTTCAAACAGAGATCTCTGACTCCATTCTCTGGTGTTTTCTCCTGGCCACAAACACACTCCATCTGCCCTGTTCCATCTCCTAGGTAAAATTGGCTGATACTCCTGGGACTTTCATTGTTCATCGCTGAGGGTCTTCTTCTCTGTAGATGGCCTCTTCTTTTCCAAGTATAATGAGGAGGTTTTTTTTAAAAGAACTGGCACCAATTTACAAGCCCATAGTATGTGAGATGAAGTTTCACCATCTCGGGCTCTAAGAAGGAACCTAGTTTAATTCCTCTAAGAAGTAATTGTTTGCTCCTTTGACAGTCTAGGGTCCAGTTATGAGGAATTTCATTATCCTGATGTGGAGGGATAATGCAAACTAAAGGATTTAGACTTTGATCTTCTCCAGTTAACACTTCAGTCTTCACTTTGAGAAAGGAAGGTTATGTCACCTACGTAATGTAAACTGTAGATGAGTCTTATTTCAATGTTAATGCCACTTCCTTCTTAATATAGTCCAGGTCTCAGATTATTTACTCAGAAAAAAAAATAAGTTTGCCTTGTTATCACCTTGCCAGGAAAGGTGTAGGGTGCAGTGTTAGAGGGGGAATGACCTCCAAACAAGGTGAATTAACACAGTGACAACACCATTGGGCTTAATCATAACTGAGATCACCACAATGGAGTAGAATAGGACAAGGTGTAGATCTATTGTTTGTTGTTGTTATTGTACCATAGGGTCAGAACAGATCATAGCTGTCTCTCCAGCAGGTTTTCAGAGGCAGTTAATCGCACGAGAGCGGACTGCCAATTCCTCTCTCCTGCAGTGGCTGGTAGTCTTCAGTATTGCAGCACAGCTGCAGCCAAGGACCACCAGAGCTCCCTTATTAGTCACCGTTGACTCGATGGCACCTCACAACAACAATCCCAGGGTGTGCTTGCTCCGTGGTTAAACAGACAAAAGATGCAATTGGTTGTCCTGCGCAGACTTTCTGTAGAGAACTATGGAAACATCTCTGCCGTGGACACTAAGTGACAGAAACAAATGAGTAAAGATGAAAAGTTTGGGAGTTTAAAACTTTTCTGTGCCTTTGTATTATTTGTGATCTAGTTTTTCAGTTGTTAAAATTTTCTTTGAGAAATCTAAGTTATGGTTTCTTTTCAAGTTCTCTGAATACTGTGTCTTCCTATTGCCTTATGACACTGTCCCAGTCATTTTGGGATAATCTTTAGCAAGATTTTGCGTGCATGTGATGTTACAGTTATTGATCACTAATTTTCACACTCTATTGCATCATCCTTTTTTTTGGAATGGGATTAAATATGAATCTCAGTAAGCTGGTCAGGTAGTTGTTCCACAGATTACCTGGCACAAGCTGGTGAGCACATCAAGGGCAGCATCTGTTTGCTGATATATGCCAATTAGTATCCCATTAATTCCTGGAATCTTGTTTATTCCAAATCTTTCAAACAGGTTGAACTTCCTCCTTCATCACCACTGTCATAAGTTATTCTTCTAATTTTTTCTGTTTCAGCCAATTCCTTTTAGTACAGTGATTCTATGTATTCTTCTAAGAATGAAGATTATCCAAAACCGTTGGAATAGTGCATCAACAAAGAACTACCAGAATTACAAACTGGGGTTAGAAGAGTCTGTGGCACTCGTGACAATATTGTCCATGTCAGATGGAACTTGGCTGAAAGCAGAGAACATTATAGAAATGTCTATCTGTGTTTCATTGACTATGCAAAGGCATTTGACTGTGGATCACAACAAATTGTGGCTTACCTAGGGGAGAATGAGAATCTCAGAACACTGAATTGTTCTCATGTGAAACCAGAAATAACTCATCAGAACAGATCAAGGAAATACTGCCTAGTTCAAAGTTAGGAAAGGGAGACTTCAGGGATGCATCCAGTCGCCAAACATTTTTCATCTTTATGTGAAAGAGATCATTAGGGAGGCTGGGCTACAGGGAGAGGAACGTGACATTAGAATTGGAGAAACACTCAGCAACAACATTCTTTATACAGACAACACAAGCTCACTTCCTGAAACTGAGGAACCTACCACATCTGTTGCAGAAGATCAAGGGCTGCATTCTTCAATATGGATGGAAACTCAACATCAAGACAAAAGATTCTCACCACTTGGCCAATTGGAATGAGAGAT